TCGACAATATGCGTTTTTGCTGGCTGTAGCAGCGCTATAGCGCTGCGCAGCAAAAACGCATAAAAAGGCAAAATTGAGCAATCTGATCAAGACCTTCCTTAGCGGCGTCAAGCCACTCACAAAAATTGTTCAGCACACGAAAAATCATGCACTGCACTCACTGCACCCGCTGCACCAATTACATCTCCTGTGCAAGACTGAGACTTTAAAAGACGCTCCCATTCATATTGCTTCATTCAGTGGAGATGGAACTGTATTATTTTCAGACCGGCTTTTAAAATTCAGTGACTGTGCGGAAGGGTACATTCCCACCATAGTCCACTGAGACAAAAGCACGCAAACCCTACCTAGTAGGACTACTTATGAATCACCAGCGCAGCGTGATATTGCTAGACAAAAGCTTTATCAAACTTACCAGCGTAACTCTGAGTTTGTGCACGAGTTTGCTGAACCCTCCAGCAGCTTAGTCACTGCATTTACGTCTGGACTGAATGTCTCCACGCTTAACGATACCTTACGGGATCAGTTTTGGATCGATTGTACCCAAAATTACGATACCATCTCAAGAGAGAACATAAGTTGACCATTGTGAAAGCTTTTGATCTGCATTAGAAAATGAATGTCTACTCGAAAATCATGAAATAGCCGAAAGGAACTCTTACCCAGACAAAATTCGTTCAACTCATCCTTTACACAATAATGTACCCATTCAATTACCTTTCAGTCGGAAATGATAGGGTTATTACGCGAGATAAGGGATAAACTAACACTGACGGACAGGAATGGGTCAACAATAATGGAAAGGAACGTAATAAACAAAATTAGAAGTGGCTTTCGTGCACTTGACTTCAATTCACGCAGACAGCAAGCTAACACAAGCGCACCGATAATCGTTACAACGTCACATGACGTGATCTAGAGGTAGCGTACAGTTCAAGGCGACACGAAAGAAATCAAGATGGAAGACCATACTGTTCTTATTGCTATAGGTTAGGATATTTAGAGTAAAACTGTTGTGGCCATATGGCGCCATGCCAATGCCACTGAGGTATAGGAATGAGTCGATCGATCGTCTTGACCAACTTCCTCCTGCACGTATGGGATTACGAAGTCAACGATGGCATCGAGATGATTCAACAGACCGTCAAGCCTCAAGGCACTTGGGACCCAGGGAACGATCAGCATCACGCGTCACGCTGCTCGAAGATACAGTGATCATATCCTACCGAACGTATTTTTGGGGCTAGGGCTGCTATCAAGCACACCTCTTCGCCAGCGATCATGGCGAGGAGCAATGTAGATGTGCTTGATCTCAAAAATACGTTCGATACTACACAAGTGCATTTACTCCTGCATGAAATTGTTGAATGCAAGCACGAGCTTCCTCCCAACATTTTGTCCGCAACTGACAAAACGGTTCAGGAAGCTGCTCACGAAAAAACAGAGAGATCAAGCATCGAACTTAGCAGAGGCACAGTGCAGCGCAGTTAGTGCCTCTGCGTTTAGCGTCTGAAACTCCATCCATCTGAAACTTTTGATCGGTGCAAGAGCAGCAATATCACTGGCACCGCTAGCCGGTGCCCTTTCCCCTTGTATGCAAGAAGAAACTGAAATATTTAAAATTTTAGCGCAGCCAACATGTTCCCGCGTGTTAAGTGGTAAAGCGGCAGCCAATCATGTTCTGGACGATCTGACTGCTTCATGTTTGGCGCAAAAACGCATGGACGCATTGGCAAGCCTAATGCGTTCAGATTTGGGTTTTGATTTCATATAGCGTAAATATGCATACTGTAGTAGATTTGCTGTATATATATATGTGTGTTTGTGTGTGTGTGTGTGTGTGTGTGTGTGTGTGTGTGTGTGTGTGTGTGTGTGGATATGTGGGTACGCTGTGTCAGCATATTTTGTTTTCCAGATCTTCTAAAGCTGTGAAGCTGAAGTGGTTTTGGCAAGTTAGCGCCTCACTATCTACATGTTTTCACGCGAAAAACAAACGTAGCTGTCCTTTTGTTTTTCACTTGAGGACTGGTTGAGGAGTTTTTGGCAAGAAAGCGAGTCCGGAGACCAGATAC